CTGACAGTAGAGAAACCAACCTCCACATTGTAAATTTAAGGGTAGTTTCCCGGGTCCACCAAACCCGGATCAATAGGTCAATGACGTTTCGCGCGCGTCCGTCGGTTCCAACCGAGGTTGCGCGTAGCCTTCACAAATGTTCGTAGTTTAATGAACAAAGGTAACGATGCACATCACTTCGTTGCCGCTCGTCACCCGGACGTACTAGGACTGGTCGAAACTTACTCAAATCCTGAGGTCACTACCCAGGAATTTCAGATCAGTGGCTATTCGTGCTTCCGGTGCAACAGCGAGGCGGCGTGCTGTAATACATTCGGTCTTCGCTATGCAGGAGACTGGTACACACCTACCCCAGCGAAGATAGCCTGTGCGAACGGTTATGGTGCTCGACCAGCCTGAGACAGGGTCAACTATTTGTGGATACGGCTTAACGCACCCTGCTAAGTCGATGTCTGGATTGGTTGTCGCATGTCAGAAACTACATGAGTCGGCCACGCTTCCTGCTTATGGGCGATTTAACTTCCCTTGAATACGGTAGCCTGAGGCCCAGCATCTCCCAGCGCAACGTGAAATCGAGGCACAGTTTGCGGAGAGGATATCTGAAACTGGAGTAGCACACGCCTGTCAACCGACGCGCGTTACACCACATTCCGCTCCATCGTGCTTGGACCTGATAGTAACTAGTTGCGTGCAACGTGTATACGATATTCAGGTCCCGGAACCTCCGGAAGCTAGCGACCACTTGATATTCTTAGACAACTTAGAGCTGCTGCTGCCCCACTCGTGTCCGTCGAATCCGTCCTACAATCACTGGAAGACGGACTTTTATGGTCCAAATCGAGCCGCCATTGAGGGGGAATGGTCGCAATTGCAGGATTCATCTGTTGAAGTCTGTTGGACTGTTATAAAAGGGGGTATGATATAGTTGTGTGCTCGTTTCGTACCGCTTAAGCATCGGGAAGCTGGATCAGTGAAGCCATATTGATTCGATAGAGTATGGTCAATTGCATCGACGGCGACGCGTAGTGTGGAATGAATACCTCGAGTCTGGCTATATTGATGACTCTGAGGCGTACAAAAGGCAACGGAATCTATGCGATATTGCGAATGCGCGAGTTTCAGCAGTTTGAAGAGGATCTCGCAACCTCAGAAGACGCCCACAAGGTTTTTGCTCACCTGAAGCGGCGCCTGAAACCCGCAAGCGAAGCAGCTACGTTAGAGAGCACTGACAGACAGCCTCTGACCTCCAGCAACGAACGTGCGTCCACATTGGCGGAGCACTTCGCTTCTGTATTTACAAGTACGATGCGCCAATGCCGAGCTCGACGCGTGTAGACCATACCGAACTCGAGTGCCTGGATTTAAATGTGGAAGATGTCCGCAGTACATTCACCAGTCTTGACGGCACAAAACTTGTCGGACCCGATGAACTTCACCTGCTAATTTTAAAGTCCTTATCAGCCATCATCTCGCCTGCCGTGACGGATCTGTTCAACAAATCGCTGTCCGAGGGTGCATTGCCGAGCGACTGGAAATGCTCGGTACTGAAGTCGATTCCAAAAGGCAGTGACCCAGACAAGGTGGACAATTACCGGCCTATTTGTCAAACCAGTTTTGATGAAAGCGGTCGAGAAGATTGTGAAAAAGTGTCCTCACCAGCTATTAGAGTCGAAAGATCTAACGCCGGCACAGCACGGCTTCAAGAAAAGTCGATGCTGCATCACCAACCTGCTGTTGACGCGGCACGGATGGCTGCAGGCGTTGAACAGGTGGAAAGCAGTAGTAGTAGAGCGTTCGATAAAGCGAACCATGAGACCCTTCTCCACAAGCTGAGAATGTGTGGTGTTGGTGGCGCACTAAACCAGTGGATCAGTGACTTCCTCAATGGGAGAAAATGGAGAGTACAAATGGATGACCATCTAACGGAATGGCACCCGTCCACTAGCGGCATACCCCAAGGCACAGTACTGGGGCCCAGTTTGTTCCTGATCCACATAAACGAAGTAACTCAGCTTCTTCGGTCGCCCTACACATTAATTTCAGATGATCTGATTCTCCCGGCGATTGCGACATCCTTTAGCAGGACATCTACTGCATATTCCGGTGGCCTGCAGGAATTGACCTACCAGGTCAACCTAGCCAACTCCTCGTTTATGAGCCCGGGGAGGGTTAGTAATGAGTGTGCGTACACCTTAGCTCGCCACCCGCTGCATCGTACCAGCTCCGTAAAGGATCAAGGCGTACTCTCACGCTGGGATCTAAATAGGTCGACAACACAAACAGATTGTATGCAAACAGACCACGCCTGCTCTGGGTACTTTGGCGCAACTTCTGCACATGGTCTGAAGCGGTTGCCACTCGCCTGTTCTCTTCCGTGATAAGACGGTTGTTTGAGTACGGATCAACCACCTATTGTCGTCGCTGCTGGAGAGCACAGAGCGCGCTGTCCTCGTGAGGGGGCAAGGTTCAAAGTGTGGTTCCAGCCTGTGTAAAACAGGCTATGGCTCAGCCACTTTCTTGTGTTCGTCTAGTATGCTTGATTTCCCAACTACGCATTAATGATTTGTTTTGCTTTTTAAAGGATTGTGAGCCGGCTCCCTTGATGAAACATGGCTCCTATCCGCATACCTTCCCTTATTCCTTCGGGTTTATACCAGATATGGGGTAAGTGGGTGGAACTGTTCGGGGTGCAGTGCAAGACCCCCATTGTCCCTCTGTATGCGCAGGTGTCTTGTGGCTTTCCCCTTGGAGGCCACAGTGACAGCCAAACCCGGACATGGATGCCGCCAATCCATATATATATATATATATATATATATATATATATATATATATATATATATATATATATATATATATTGTTTGCAAGAATAAACTAGTTGTCATCATATTTCCTGTTTGTCTAAAAGTTCAGGATCCAGTTATTGAACACAGCTAGTAGACGAGATACTACTCAGTTGCTTAGGTTGAAGTTGGTGGGTTGTCTTAGGGCACCACTTTCAAAGGAACTAACCAACAACACAGCAAGGTGAGATATGTGCTTCGCACTTGTTGGGAGCCGGTGACTGGTCACTGGTTTCATACGATTATATATGCTGATAACAAGTGTGAGGAGCTCAAATTTCTCACCATTACAGGGAAAAGTGGGTGCTCATATTGCCCGCTGGTGTATAATGTATCACAGGAAGAGAAAGCGCAGTGACTTTATGTGGTGGTGAGTCACATCAGCCACTTCGCAGTGTTGTTAGGCAGATATTTGGGATCTTCATAGGGAAAAGGCTTATCAAATAAAAACCTACCACGTCCAGGAACGGAAAATTTCCGAGTCACCCACCTGGCAACAATTGGGACGTAGTTTGGCTATGAAACTGAGTTACACCAGTTTCCGCTAGTGCAGGTGATTGAATGTTCTCCGCACCGCGGAGGCATTCTTGCGCAGTCAGATCTAAGATGGCAAAGTCCACTGAGTTTAACGAATCCATCTTTAACGTCGAAATGCAATCAGCTTTACTGTAACATCACTATACCTGCAAACCCAAATTATCCGCGTCGTAAGAGGCTCACGAGAGTAAGTTTTTCCGGGAAACGATCGTGCACTGCTAGACGGGATCAGCGGCATCTATTCCTTGTTAGCGGGACAACGTTAGTCTAACTTGCAATTCACATTCGCAGGAAAATGTGCTTGGCCTCTTTTAAGGTTTACCGAGTGAAAACGAACACTCTCCAGTTTAAGGGGCCTACCGTACACTACGTTCCATAGTCGGATGTGAGTTGAGCATGACCTATTGTGTCTGATATATCAGTTACTTATCCATGATGATGTCGCTGCCACACACACCATAAATAAAAACGCAGACAACAGTACAAAGTCGTAGTACAGTGGTTGAAGTGAGTTGTTCACTACCTGTACTCCGAACAACGAGTGATTAGATTAGTTTGCGGGAGCATTACATCCTGGCCATGGAAGTTCATAACGCTTCTTGAATCACTCTTCGCTACTATGAGATGAGGAGAAAGTCTTCCCGTTGATAATGAGATCACATACCTGTAATCCATATGCTACTACGAGTTGAACACCTTTCTAATATAACGAGAGCCTGGAGAACCATCTGCGTAACGGCAAATGAGTCCACTTTCCTTAACATTTTGATCATATTTTGATGGAGCTGTACACATTTTGCTTCTACCTGCACCAAACAATGCAGTATTCAGCACTCCAGTCGACGATTAGATAAATGTCATCGCTTGGACCATGTATACGCGATGGAAAATGAATTCACAGGCTAGGAAACAAGGTGTCGTAAAAAATAGAGAGGGCAGTAACAAAAAGAAAGGCGTAAAGAATCCATACCTGTAAAACTTTTGTCCATTTCTGATTCGATGTCTCAACTCCTCCACGCGTTCCGCGGTGAGACACTTCACCAGACGTTCAGTCACGCTCAGACCAGCTGCAACAGGGGCAGTATGTGCGTTGTGTAGAATGTGCAATCGAGATACTTCGGCGCTTGTGGGAGTTTTTTGTCGGCGAGTCAGTTCTGCGGAATCAAGCAGCAAGGCGTACTGTTTCGCACAAGACCGCGCGGAGCACCAGTCATCTGGGCGCCCTATCGTCCCAAACCGAGCCATTCTCCTGGAGATAGCCGGCCAACTTGCTTGCTGGTTTTCCACGTCGAGTAGAGCAGTTGCCAAAGCCAAACGCTCTCGCAAAGGCCAAACTCCAGGTCCATAACCCGGGCCAAGCAGCGAGGCAGAAGGGACCGCATTAAGAGGAGATAGACTCATTGAGGCCCAAGTCACCGCTGACTTAGGCTGAAATGCTGGAAAATGATCATTTAGAAAGAAAAGATGCTTAGTTGCTTAAACATACATAGAAAAGTAGAATAGCTCCAAATTGGAAATGCCCGCTGACAATAACGACGCTATCGTAAAATACCATCGGGTAGTTGCAAGTCAGGTATTACTGTCGTGGAAAGACACTCCTCCGCCGAACGTGTCCTTGATAGGTTAATTATGATCTGAAGAGCTTTATTCCAAGCGTGTAAGTCCGGTAGTGGATAGTACGAAGAATTCGCACATTAACAGGAAGCGATCGTTTTCTGTATTAACAGAAAAGCAGCGATAACAGAAGAAGCAAGGTTGGTTTGCTTGGTACTGCCCCTGCACTGTGTACCGAGTTAAACAAGAAGGATTGGAATCGAGAGCAAGTGGCACATGGACTCAAGGTAGTTCGACACAGAATATGCGAATACGGGAATCAGCGTAACAGTAACACTACGGGCGTTGCGACTGACCTCAGTGTCATCTTAGCTCGTCAATACTCCCTAGTGTGCAACTCATAATAAGATCGGACTGGAAAGGGCTGGTGCGACACCACCTTCATTTGTAGCAATATGCCAATGCTCTACAAGCGACACAATCGTTCACAGCGCGCGGCTTTCCAGTCGCTCGTTTTACTTCGATATATCACTGATTAGCTGTACAACTTCAGCTGCCTTTTAGGAGTGTAATAATAATAATAAGGTGCCAGCTGTACGCCGTAACGGCGCTTCGCTGCCGCGCGACCACCACCAGTCGCGCGCAGGCTGAGTATACTGCAAGGACGCCCACCGCTACGGGGATTTGAATCGGGGACCATACGGTTACAAACCAGGTGCGCAGACCACTCGGCCACCAGCCGACCAGGAGTGTAGTATGAGGCAGCTGCCAGCATCCGACAAAGCTATGAACGGCGTGTTCCACTCTCAAAGAGCTTTTGTAATATCCATCAAGCAGCATGCTGAGAGGGTTGGAAAGCCAGGATCTAACTTTCGCGGACAGAGAAGTAAGACTGGGTACTAAAGTGAGTGCCAGTAACATACATGGTCAAATGATTAGGTGTGATATAGTGCAACCCGCTCTGTACGACAGTGGCATGGAAGTAGTCAGAAAAGCAGAATATTGTAGCAATCAGAAAGTGAGTCGAGTACTTGCAAACAACGACCAATGGCATCCGTGGGCCAAGTCTGGGTTTGTAAGTGTTTGAACACAGCTCAGTGTTTTTACATGAACTCAGGAAGGACGAGATGATTGTTTTGTGTCATTCTGGGTGTAGTTAGATGCATAACGAGCTCAATATATCATAAATTGCATTTGGAACATCTAAATTTCTTTAACACTCCATGATTACCACTGAAATGACCGACAGTGACATGAATGCCACCGTCACTGGGGTTGCATTTGAGCCTTGAAAGGAAGGTAATCGAGTCCCACAAACGATTAGGAAGACTCCAAAACAAAATAATGGATGCCCAAGTTAAACCGAATACACAATGAAATTGTAGTGAACTGCGATGTTCCAAACATCGCAATGAGGCTGGACCTTACCATGGTGCGATGGTTTGTGTGCCTCAGCGATCCAATGAGCTATGCTGCGTGGTGCTTTTTGTACCTTCAGAGCCACTCATACCAGATTGGTCAATGGTTAGAGGCCAGACAAACTCAGCCTCCTGATCCTCCAGGTTGGGAGTTGGAATGAAGGTGGCACCTTATTCCTTAAAACGGACTCCTTGTAGCCCAACGCCAAATCTGCTGCCTTGCGTTAAGGTTTTTGAACCAAAGGCTTTGGTAGAGAACCCTAATCGTTTTCCTGTCTAGGCCTGGACAATCTGACAGTATCCTGTCCACGCAATACAATGAATTTTTCTTCAAACAGTTTCTTGATTCTCTGACCACCGCAGAGGACAATCAACGGTGGCCTATCTGCTGCATCGAGCAGAGTGGATAGAGGTTTAGATGCTACTGCTTAAGCCTTCCCATATTCTTACTCCCCCTTACGCTTTTTCGCTCCTACCGTGCCGTTCCAGTTTCAATTTTATCCCCCTATTTTCAACCCCCCAATTCTTGGCATTCCCCCACTTTGCTTCAGTAGTCGCTTGTCTTTCAGTTTCAACGCACATGTGAACGCGGAGTGTCATTCCTGTCCTGTTGACAAGCCCAAGTACAACCAAGCGGCCAAGCCCAGTTCATCGACTTCCATTTGGTGCCCTCGATCCTCCTTCAGATTGGCATGCCTCAATGTACGCGCATAACCACAGATCGGTAAACAGGCAGCACTTGCCCGAACATTAGAGACATTCTCGATCGATATCTGCTGCTTATCGGAGACCCGCCTGTAAGACCCGAGCTCGGCGCTCACTTTGCGATCCCCTTCAGGTGCACCAGAAGTATTATCTCATTGCGCTTATTCGGTAACGATGCAGCTTCGAGCATCGGCCAAGCTGGTATTGTTACTACCCCGAGTCCCCGAACTGAAAGTACTCTGGTTGATTGGATTCCAATCAGTAGCTGGGTGTGTGCGGTCCGATTGGCTGGCTCGTTCAAAGCTTCGAAGTCGCGCGGAACTAACAGGTGTCTATTCGTCATCGCTGCCTATGCACCCACAAACTCTAGCGATGATTCGGTAAAAGACGACTTCTATCGCCAATTGAAAGAGCTCCTTCGCCACAGAAGAAACTCGGACACTGTTGTGCTGGCTGGGGATCTGAACGCTCAAGCTGGAAAATTATCCACTGATGAACTGCATCTGGGCGGCCAACATGGTGTAGGCTCCCGTAATGATAACGGTGAGCGGTTACTTCATTTGTGTGAAGATGCTCGCTTATTTCTTGCGAACACTAATTTCCGACACAGCACCCGCCGGAAGGTGACTTGGCGACCACCAGACTCGAACCAGCTATGGACGCAAATTGATCACATTGCGAGAAGTTACCGATAGAGAGGCTGCTTTCAGAACTGTCGCTCGATTTGGAGCACAGGTGTTGATACCGATCGTGCACTTGTATGTGCTGACCTGCGGATGCGTTTTGGCGGACGCCCAAGACTACGTTGAGACCGCATTGACAACAACCAACTGCCGAAACCAGCTGCTCTGAATGTCCATCGAAGTACGCTGTCATGCGATTTGAGTAAGCACTCACTGGATGCAGCTGAAGCTCACTGGTCTCATATTCACCAGTCCTTATTAGCAGCAGGAAAATCCTCATGTGGTAAGTCTAATCCCCAACATGGACATTGGGTCTCTTCGCAGTCTCTGGAACTTATCGATGCACGCCTGCATATTCCGGCTGGAAGCGAACACAATGAAACTCGCAAAGAGATCCTGGCAAAACTCCGTGCTAGTCTGAAGAGAGACCGCGAATCCTGGTGGTCTCATCTTGCAGCAGAGATGAAAATGGCCACTGCCCCTAGTAACCAACGTAAGTTATTCCGGCTGATACGGGAAACGGGCAGCAGAAGATTAGGGCTTAGTGAAACTATACGTGGCAAGCGTGGACAGCCTATCCACAACCTGTCAAAACGCTTGCCTATGATTTATTTATTATTATTTATGTGCTATAAAGCACTGGACCCTAACGGCTTACGTCCCGCCCTATTTTAAGATGGCGGCTACTCGCTGGTTCGAGGAATTATCGCTTTGTTCTCAGAAGTTTGACTGGAAAATGAGGTTCCATCATTTTGGGGTAAGTTGATTGTCATCCGCATCTTCAAAAAGGGCCTGTGCACAATGTGCTCCAAAAATAGGGGTATCAACTTGGTCCATCATACTTCGAAAACTATCTCCAATGCGCGAATCGCTACAGCGAGAAGAACAGGCTGGGTTCCGCCCCGGCCACGGCCGCATCGATCGAATCTCCACACTCTGCCAGATCCTCGAGCTCCAACATGTGTACCAAAAACCAATGGTTGTTGTGTTCCCGGATATCCGCGCTGCATCCAATTATGTCGATAGGTCTGCACTGTGGCACTGTTTGTTGAGAAATGGCGTCCTTACGAAGTTCGTTTCCATACTGCGTGCTATCTACCGTCCGACCTCGGGTAGAGTTAGGACTTATGGCAGGCATTTACCTTTCGTTGTGGTTGGACAAGGATGCCCTATCTCCCATTCCTTTTTCGATTTTGTCACTGAGAATGTCCTAAAGAATGCTCTGGAAAATTCGTTGAGCACTGGCGTTGAGCTCCTTCCAGATAGCCGAGTTGCTGACTTGGACACCGCTGATAATATCGCCTTGCTGGGTGACGATCTACAAACCGTCCAACTTGCACTCAACCGCCTAGAGATTAAAGCGTCAAAGTATGGGATGGATTTTCCCCATCCAAATGCAAAGCTCTTTTCTAAGAGTTTCAGATGGCTGTACCTGCACACACTCTTGATGGTGAAACAATGGAGGTTACGGAGAGCTTCTCCTACCTTGAAAGTTGTTTTACAGCCGGTGGAGCTGTTGGACAGGAGATTCCAATGCGTATCACAAGAGCTCGCTTCATTCCCTCTAAGCGCCGCCATGACATCCGGCTCTCCATCAATGAGTGGGTTTGTTGCGCGACTCACCGCGCCGTACTGTTATACGGTTGCGAGACTCGGCCTGTTCATACCGTTGAGCTGTGCCGTCTCTCTGTCTTTGAGCACCGTTACTTGCGGTCCAATGCACCTGTGTGTTGGCTGCACCACGCAACCAATGTGGAAGTTAGACAGCGTGGCTTAGGTGCAGGCAGCCGTTCACTGGAGGAGCTCGTCCTACTGCATCAGCTGCGGTGCCTTCGACACGTACTGCACATGCCCGCCCATCGTCTTCCGTGTCGGACCTTGTTGGCAGGTGCCATACAGGACTGGAATATGGAGAAGCCAATTAAAATATCTCACGAAAGAGTCGGCCTCGGTCGGTTGTTATTGACCCTGATGGAGATTTCAGAGATACAGTGTCAATGGTTAGACGCTGGAAGTCATGGCACAAGGCCGACGTCAATGG